TTTGTTTTCATATATACAGCCCCCTTTACGTGGTTATCCGAACCACCCCGGCCCGGATACCGGTGTGAATAGAGGGGCCCCTTATTCTTCACTTTTGAAAGACTCTCACACATTTTAATTATCGACACAATGGACTAACACACAACACAAAACGGAGCCCCATGGTAGCACATGGCATCCGCGTATCTTCTTTGTGGGCGGACGTTACCAGCACATCCGTCCACTACCACGGCCACCACGAAACTCCAATTACATCTTATGCAGAATTGGGTATAGACAATGACATGGATGTTAACATGTCTTGTAATGTATACAAGTTCTAATGTACGGCGATTGCCCCCGGCACTGCCGTGATATCGGCAGTGTGCACATGTCTCCCCCTCGCGACCCGAAAAGTGAAAAAAAGGCAGAGACTTCTTGCATGTGTTTGTGATATAAATTTCACAGAAATAGAACCAATACACTGAAGTAATGTGTTTCACTTAAGACCGAACAAATATAATTCATCTGACGACGAGTTTTCCTTGCTTTTTCAAAAAGTACTTGCGAAACAAGGGTGTGAATAATAAGCCAAATAAATGGTCGTCTTGTCAGTGCCAAAGATACCAGAACAAAGTTCATATGAATTCATAATTAAACATCTGGACGGTTATTATGACAAAACACTAAATACTATTCCGTCCAAAAATTAAATAGTGAATCAGTTCAAGACTGGGCAGTATGTTGAAAAAAAATAAGCCAGTAACTTTAAATTTGGCGCGGAACTGGACACCAAGCTAACGGATATTTTTATTACAAGGTATAATGAAGAACGAGTAAAAAATGCGTTACTAGGCTTGAAAGCTGACGATAAATTCAGTAAAGCCTTGGAGACTGCTCTTACGGAAGAAGCAGCTCTAGTAGGCATTCATGAAACGAAAGTATGTGTCCAGGTGAAGGAATAAAAAGGCGTGGAGGATGATTTTGAAATAAAACAAATTCAACGAGTTCCTCAGCATCAACAAGGGCATAAAAACCAGCAACATAGAAGCCAGCTAAACAAAGGTAAGTCCAGTATGAGCCTGCATCAAACTGGATACAGAAGGCGAAATGAAGCGACACTGAGTAGTACTGGCAGTGCGCGTGTGCCATGTTTTCGTTGTGGTGAAGGTAATTCTCCAAATATCTTTCCATATAAGAGATATATTTGCAACAACTGTTAGAGGTCATCTACGAGCGGTATGTAGGAATGTAAACAAGCATTTGAACTCCTTGGAAACGGAAAATGTGACACCTGTTTTTTGTCTGGGCACTGAACATGATGTACCTATTTATATTGATATTTGGGTTGAAGGTAAGATGTTATGAATGTTATGGGGAAAATTCATCAGACATTGTAACATAGGATTCAGAACCATTCATTTTATGAATAACGATTAATTGGATAAGGTAATGAAGAATTTTTCAACTGTTTTTTCTGACAAGTAAGGAACATTCAACAAATTCAAACTAAAATTAAATTTAACTGCTGCAGCTATTCCCAAACTTCACAAACCTGGGCCGTTGCTATTTTTGTTGAAGAGTAACGTGAAAATCGAGTTGAATAGATTAATGAAAGAGATTATTATATCACCGGTAGAGTTCTCTGAGTAGGGTACACCTATAGTACCAGTTCCAAAAAAAAGATGGAGGAGCGCGTAACGATCAATCCTTATATGCTAACAGATAAATCTTCAAAAAAAAATACACTGTTATTAGTACACATAAAGGGCTTTTTATGTACCACAGGTTACCGTAAGGCATTTCGTCGTCGGGACCCTCGCAGTTTCAACGCATAATGGAGCAGATTTTCATTGATATGCCTGGAATAGTAATTTTTTCAGCGGAAAGACACAACGTGAACACATCGACAATCTGTATATAGTTTTAAAAATATTGAAAGATTTTGGTTTTACAGTCAAACTGGAAAAATGTGATTTTTTTTCTGATTCTGTATCTTACTTGGGATTCATTATTGACAGAGACGGACTTCATAAAAGTCCCGATGAACTAAAGGCAATAGAAAACATTCTGGAACCTTAGAATGTGACACAACTGAAGTCAGTTCTGGGGAAAATTAGTTATTATAATAGATTTATTCCTAAATTACCTGATGTCCTGAATCCTCTATACGCATTATTGAGGAAAAATTCAGTATGGAATTGGAGTAGTGATTGTAGTAGAGCATTTTTTGAAATTAAGTCATTATAAGCTTCAAATTCAGTTCTTGTTCATTACGGCCCAGATCTAGATATCAGTTCAACAGTTGATAGTTCAGACTATGTCATAGGGGCTGTTATTTCTCATAAGTTCAAAAACGGTATTGAAAGACCAATTTGTTTTGCTAGTAGAACATTAACTAAATCAGAAAAAAATTATTCTGCTCTAGATAAGGAAGCAAACAGCAATTGTATGGGAATTAAAAAAAATGTATCAATACCTGTACGGAAAGAAATTCAAACTAATAAGTGACAATAAAGCACTGATGTGGGCCAAAAACCTGAATACTTCAGTTAGCAGCAAACAGACTACAACGTTACACAGTTTTCTTTTAAAGGTTTTGATTTCGACATAAAATATGTCAGTACCAGTGAAAATATAGCTGATTTTTTGAGTAGAGTTGTGTAGAGTTTTGTTGAATGTTTCGGAGTATTTGGAAACAGATTGGCAATTCCGTCTTCGCTACAGTCATTCATTATAAGAGAATTATACAGTGCACATTTGGGAATGGTTAAAACGAAACTTTAGGCTTGATTTCATGTTTGGTAGACATCGTTGAATTGTGAAATTCAAAATATCAATCATAATTGTGATAAATGTCAGAAAACTCAGTCGAACCGTCCAAAAGTGTCCTTACAAGGTTGGAGTGTGGTCACGTATTCATTTAGATTTTTGTCAAACAAAAAAGAATTTTTTTTCAATAGTCTTGGTTGCATTCTCGAAGTGGATCGAAGTTATACCCATGACTTCAATAACGTCTTCTACAATTAATAAATTGAGAGAATTTTTTTCATGGTCACTTGTTAGTGACAACGGTCCGCAACTGACTACAGCGGAATTTAGGCATTTCACTAAAGTCAATGGCATTCAACATATAACTAGTTCGCCCTTTTCGGCACAATGCAATGGCGCTGCTGAGAATACCGTGAAAACTGTAAAATCTTTTCTTATGAAAGAAATAGATTGTAAAAATGTCAACCTATCACTTTCAATATTTTTGCTTGCATACAGAAATACTGTGCATTTGTCAACAGGAGAAGATCCTGCAAAGTTATATTTTGGTAGATCTCTGAGAACAAGATTCGACTTATTGAAACTTGAAAGCTTACAAAATTCTCAACAAGAATCGATATATTTTGACCAGATCAAGCAAAGCTCAGGAAATGAGAAAATATTATAAGGGGGAAAGAAAAGTTATGTTTTTTGATGGAAACATTATTCTAGCTAAAGACTATCGTTATGTGAAAAGCTCTTGGTGTAAAGCGAAAATAACAATAATTTTAGGTAAGAATATATATCTTGTCAAACCATTAGATTCAAATATTATTTGGAAAAGACAACAATCAGATTAAGAAAATGATTTGTAAAACAGATTACAATACGGATTTTGAGGATAAAATCAAATGGGATACTGATCAAGGTGATGTTGATAATACCTATGGAAATGAAGTGGTTGGTAATGGTGATAATATAAATGCTGAGAATCTTGATAACAGTATGGTCGGAACAAACATGGCATCACCGCCATTACCAAGCACTTCATATATTCGTCCTGTACGTAACAGGAGAGAACCTGATATTGACTTTTTATATTATATATATTTATGTATTCATTCCAATTTTGGGCCGTGGTGGTGTGTAAATTCTGATGTACGGCGGTTGCCCCCAGCGTTCAATGTTTAAGTTTGAAAATGTCCTTATAAGACGAAACTGCTGTAACGTTAGTTACAAATAAAAGTCGTAAAAACATAGAAAGTTTAAATTATCTTTTTTTCATAATGATTTCCTACCACATAGTAACAGCTACATCCATCAATGTATATCACTTTCCCAATTACTCACTACACCACTGTGTTACTATGGCATACGATATCTACATGTGGTGAATGTCAAAATGAATTTTATTTCTACTCCAGCATAAACAGGTCTCTAGCAGAGCAATGAAAATACTAGGTTTTATATGCAGGAGTACAAGACTTCACCAGCATTAGTTCCATAAAAATATTGTACTATGCATTGGTGACATCAATTATACAGTATTGTAGTTGTGTTTGGTCACTAACTTATGAAATTCATACATACAACAGAAAGTTGAAAATAAATTCATAAAATATGGTACCTTTGATTTGAATATGTCTCATTGTGATCACTCCTTTTCAGAAATTTGTTCTATAAAGGTAATGTAAAATGTTCGTTGATGGCATTCTATTATATTAATAATTGGTTTCAACATGATTGGTCATTAATTTGAATTTTATACATACTATACTTCAACCATGAGATTGGAACCTTTGGTGTGAAAGTTGAATAACTTTTTTCGAGATCAATTGCCCTACAAACTGATATTTTTGCACTCCACACGCGTTTCGCCAACAAAGTTAGCATCCTCAGGAGAAGAAACTTGATACCTAGTCTAGTCTGGTTAATCCTTATATACTAAAATTTGTTACCTGAGGTTGTATACCTGAAGTCCAATATGGAATTTCTCGGTAATTAACTACCTGCAAGTTCTTAGTAATTATTCTCTTCTTAACAGAAGATTAAAAAGCGGGCTAAATGGGATGGGTCCCTTATCGCCATTCATGCTGTTCTTACATTTTGCTATTTCTAGACTCTCACATGCATCGAGTAGCCTGGTGTCATGCACATGCTCAATCAGTTTCAGATTGAACATCACAAAATCACTTTGTTTTTAAAATGATGTATACATTTTTCCATATGTTCCAAACATTATTTATGACCAAAATAATAATTCAACTCACCTGAACTGTGCATTATTCAGTTCTCGGTTCATAATCATAGCTTCAAACATTGGTCCTTCTCTCACTACAAACTCGACCATTCTATGTATTAGCATAAGTAAATTTCTATCAGTTGGTATAACTATTTTAACAACAGCCCTTGACAGTATCTCATTGAGTTCTTCTTGAGATTTGGGAAGCACATCTTTATCTTTCAAAGCAGGTTGGGCATTAAAGGGTAAACCTGATGGGGGTGGTGGCTGAGCTATGTCAAGTAATATTGGAGGAATATATATAGGGTGCGGTGGGATAATCACTGCTTTACCCCATCCTAATTTCATTTCATAACCATGTATGTCTTTTCCATTAAGGTTTTTGAGTGCTCTTTCTCCGTCTTTTCTTGCCATATAAGCAACAAAACCACAGTTGCGCCCTCTTGCTTTTTCTTCATCGGATCTAGGCCACATTATCTTGATACTGGCAAGAGGACCATATCTTCCAAATAATTCCAACAATTGTTGTTCAGTTATCTAAAACAACTCAAAGTCAAATTAAAAATTTACTAGCTTAATGAAATCACCTTTGGATTGAGATTCCCCAAATATAAATTTGTAGTATTTGGATCACCATTATCAAAAGAACCAATATCGCCACTTCTCATAAATAAATCTAATTCATTTTCTATTGGAGTGCGAATTACCCCTTTATATTTATGCCTCTCTTCTCGTTCTTCCTGGATCCTGTAATAATTTGTAATGAGTAAAATAGGTAACTTTCATATTTTGATTCAATGAACACTTAACTGTCTCAATTCTTCCATGAATGCTTCTAAATTACTTTTGGTACTCGGTTTCTTCTTACCTAACCTTTCTGGTTTCTTATCAGAAGAAAGTAATTTGGCATAAGCTTGAGCTCGTTCAGCTGAGGTCATCAACTCCTGTGATGGTGCTATTCGTGATGTGGGTTTATATAGCTTTCCTTTATCTTTACTGTCTTCCTCTGGAAATTGAATGTAATAATATTATTCAAATATTGAAAATAAACACTTACTTCGAGCTCCAGCATCATACGTTCCAGCTTTAACCCAAACTTTTGAACTTCCATTAATGGGAGTTTCTTGAAAAGTTTCAACAAATTCTTGAAAAACCTGCAATGTATTTCAATTAATTAATTATAGAGTAGAATTATAAATAGGCTGGGCAAGGAACCAGGTTGAAGGATTAAGTGATGAACCTTGCAAGTATGGATGCTGCCTCAATACAGTAAAAGCTAATGTTGAGTAAAATTATTTTGTTTTAATAAAAAATCTTACATGAGCTGCTGCCTTCTCTTCCTCTCTCTTCCTCTGTTCTTCCAATTCCCTTTTGGATAAGTTTCTTTTGCCCATTGTACCAATAGAAAAGGCTTTGAGTTTTTGTTCAGGAATATTCTTTAACAAAGTAGAATTAATGTAAGAATTTATTTACCATACACTTACCTTAATTTTTTCCGTCATATTTGAAAAACAACTTTACTGAAATGGGGTGAACGTGAATAAAACATTAACTCACAACTCACAACACAAGCACAGAACGACAGAACTCATCAGTCTTGCCAACTGGATTAACTGTAAAGTCGCTACACATGAAACAAAATTCCGCAACACTGCCTTAGGTATGCTGTGACACTTCATAATATTCCGTTACGCTTGTATATTTGACGCAAATCAGTTCGCGTATGCGTCTTATTCAAAATTAAATACCACAGAACTTACAGTTTGTGTACCGTTCAGAAACACAGATACACAAAGCTGTTACTGTTAGGAATCAGGATCATGCAACCGCGCAATTCAGGTCCGAATATTTTGTATTCAGAGTACAGTTGCAGACGATACGATACACCCATAATGGGTGTATTGTTTGCAACTGTAAGAATGGGTGACCCATTCTTTCATGTTGGAATCAGATAACCAGTGTTGAAAAAAAAGTTTGTTTTCGAGACTTATTGTATTTTTTTGAACATGTCCCGTTCCTGCGGTAGCTCTTTCGCTCAAGCTACACTAAAATGAAATATCTTCCATTTCTGCTTTAGTTTGTTCCATATAACTTATAATACTGATATAATATAATACTAATACTTTCAGTTTTAAAATATTGAAGGTTATATGAATGAAAATATTCAAAAATCTTTTTCTTCTCTTTCAGTATGTGATGGCCTCAGTTACTAAAACTGTGTCTAGATTATCTTGGCCTTCTGCTTCCGTACAAGACATTTAGCCACATCTTTTTTTTAAGTACAAAACACAAGCACTGCAGGAAAATCCTTAAGGCGCTCCCAGAGCGGTGCCTGTGCGAAAGTAGCGATTCACATTGGATTTGAATCGCTGGAGATTAAATCTATTTGGAAAATCGTTTTCAGAAAGTTCATTCCACATAAATGCAGTTCTCCAAATGAGAGAGTTCTTGAAAAGTGAGGTTCGAGGTATACTGAGTTGAACCTCAAAACGGTGAGCAGCCACAGTCCGTCGCGTTATTCTGATATGAGGTGGAATCAAATGTGCCAAGTCACTTGAATACCTCCCGTGAAAGTATCTATAGAAGAGACAAAAATCTCCAACCTTCCTTCGATGTTCCAGGCTATCAAGGTTGCACGTGATATTCGCGTCTCCAATCAGGTGGAAGGATTTTTTCTGGATGGAATCCCGCAACTTCAGGGTATGTTTGGGGGCAGAGCTCCATACATGAGACCAATACTCCAAAGAAAGTTATAGAAAATGTGTTTACATTTGAAGTAAGTTGGACCATAAAAGAGTGGAATATTATATATTTGTAAAATAAATCATTTCAGGTGAAAATGTATTCTGTTCAAATAGTTCCTACAGGAAATCTGATTTATTATTAATGATTATGGAAATGAAGCCAGTTTTTCTACCACCTACTAGATTTTTATTTATGTATGACTTTATAATAAAGTGCGTGGTTTACTGGGTTAAAATTAAATTATTTCAAATGATTATCCACTAAACCAACCGACACTGTTTTATGGTCCAACTTACTTCCCGTAAACAAACAAAGTTATGCTACCTTCAATGTAAGGATGGAAAAGGCATCCCTATTGTCTTTCATTACTCTGAGTTCGAAACAGTGTTCCAAGTTTTTGAGAAGCAGCCTTTTTCCTGAAGTACAAAAAATCACTCACTAGCAGTGCTAGTAGTTCGATAGGGACAAACACTTCTTAATCCTCATATAAACATATGGTAAAGTACAATTAAAAAAGAATGTTTTTTACACAAGAAGATGTTCCTGGAGCAAAAGTAAAATTTGCAATTGTAAAGGGATAACAATGTTGTAACATTAAAATGTTGGTTTGCATGCCGTAATTTAAAAGTAACTGGAAAAAAAGTTAATTAATAGACAGGTTAGTATACTAACTCTAGTAAAAGAGTAGCGGTAGATTCAAACTGTAATGAAAGAAATTTAAAATAATTATGAATTTCAGATGTATTTCCGAGTAAAATATGAATCAAATATAGATGGTAATGAAATAAATTTAATTGAATATAATAAATGAATATACTTTAATAAACAATTGAGGTTATATCTCATTCTAATCAATGGTAATTAACTATGAAAAGTTTATTATTCATTTCATGTTTAGAGCATACAAATGAATATTTATTTATTTTTTACACTGTTAAATCCACTCTTCTCGAAGCATGTATCCATTTCTTACATCTAACCTCATTAATATGAGGTTTTATAAATGGTATAAAAAACACGTATTCTTCCGGATATCGATTATCCGACGTACAATTCGCAAAACAGCAATGCTTTGTTGGTATTATACTAGCACAAGTTCATGTTTGTCCCTACTACTAGTGCTGCCTCTCGTGACACGTTCGCTGTACTATTCTCAGGAAAAAGGCTCATTGTTTTAACTATTAGACCAGGGTTGATTCTTTCAAAAATGGTAAAAAGTGAAAAAAAATAATAGTAGGATGAAACACATTACAAAAGTGATCATCTTCAAGAGGAATATCAAACTTTTTTGATCTTCTTCTTGAAGATGATCACTTAGTGATCGATTATCCAGATTATCAATATGGATGAATCTGTTTGTATCTACAATAAGTCAGATGAAATAAATGAAGTAACTTTGAATCGTTTAGTGGAGTCTAGCAAGAAAATAATCGACAATAATGTAATAAGTTGGATTTATTATATTTTTCGTTGAATTTTAGATACCAAAACATAAACAAAAAATTTGAAACTTTAACATCAGCTTTTATTCATCGAACTTGTCAAAGTCAATAAATATAATGATCAGACTGCAATAGCTATATTCTATAGTTCAAGACATAGGAAATCAAAGGAAGGAAAAAAATAAATAAAGAGGCTCTTACATTTCATTTTCAATCTCATTTCATTCTCTACGGTGGGATTTTCAGTAATATTTAAAAAAAATTCATCTGTTCAAAGTAACGATACAAGAAATAATATATTACAGTATATTCAAAAACAAATCACATTGAATGATTTCGATAAAAACATATCAGCTCGCGTTTGAGAAATGTGCCTGATTTATAATAGGGGAGCCCAAGCGGAGATTTCGGGATTTACTAAAGCGCGGCAGATTAATATACAGGAGGATACCTTGTATCCGGTTAAGTACCTCCACCAAATATGAGCCCCATATATGAGGTCGTCTGTGAGGGATAAAGGATCAGATTTGTAAAAAAAAATTGATCATCATAAATCCTCGAGCGCGTCAGATTAAGGTAGGGTGAGTTAATTACCTACTAAAAAGTGTATATGCCAGAAATCTGACAATTTAAAAGTGACGTAAAGAAAGGGGAGGGCAGCAAAGTTGTAAAAAAATAACGTCGTTTCGACATTCTCGAGCGTAGCTATTTTTTTTTTATTTTGAAGGAAATAATTCAAAGATAACGAAAAATATATAATCTGACGATTTCCGCAAACCGAAATAACAAAAATTCGTCGATAAAGTTTAATGCGTGCAGCTGTGTGATACCTATATTTCCCTC